TGTTTGCCTGGGCCTTTCTTGCTAATATTGTTTAGTCGTAACCTGTGTTTACCTGTGTACCTGTGTGGGTAGTTGATTAGACAATAGCTGTCTATAACTGACACTACAATCGAATTAGGCTATTCTGTTAAAGCGCATGTTGGAAGTTTTAGGACAGCTGTAGGGTGAGGGTACCCAAAAAGGAACGGTACCAAAAATGTAACACTTTTTCATATATATGATGCAGCAGTTTTATTTTGCAGTAAAAAAGAATGGTATGTATTCTCAATCAAAATAGGTATAGTTTTATGCATTTTCAGCAAATTTAACCTGCCTCTCGCTTAAGCATTTCTCATAAACTCAATTGAAATATCAAAAATATGAATGAAAAAATAATTCCGAGAAACGGTACGGTGCAACAACATGAATAGCCTGTCATGTTTTGGTGTTTGATAAAAAACGTTTATAGTACATGTACCGAGTGTGTTTTCCGATTAAATCAATTGTTCGGTGTTCACTTACTCTCCGCGGGTATTGTCACAGACTGACATATAATTACAGGTAGAGAGATACAACACACATACACACGCCACAGTCACAGATACTCAACGAATAAGAAATTGCATATATTTTTGAATTGGTATATCTAAAATAATGTATAGCGAAAGAATGTTGACACACGTTTTGTCATTGTTGTGCGTGTGTGTTACTCGGAAGTGACACCAAGTTATACGTGTTGGCACAGCTCCCTTGGAAGAAAGCTTTTTCTATTATACCTGTTTATGTGAACGTCTCTTTGTACAGGTTTGTACATTGTACAGGTTTGTACATTATACAGGTTTGTACACAGTAAAGGTAAGGCTATTGTACAGGTTTGTACATTGTACAGGTTTGTACATTGTACAGGTTTGTACATTATACAGGTTTGCACACAGTAAAGGTTAGTCTATTGTACAGATTGTTACATTATACATTTTTGTAAAGGGAAGTTCAAGACAAAATGGTTTGTCTTGAAGCGATAACTCAACCAGGGACGTAATCTCAGGCACAATGGTGAACGTCTCGTTTGTGTTTGCCCAGTAACCCCTTCAGCTCGCATTGGAGCTGAACAGCCATAGCAGAAAATGCCGGAGAAAAAAAAGTACATGGATGTTATTCTCTAGCATGTATTTCACTGAGAGGACAGTTATACTTTATATTTGAAAGATATGGAACCCCTGATTTTACAAGAAAGTTAACAACACTTAACAGATATGGAACCCCTGGTTTTACTCACATGTAATACTGTACTGTTATATTAGTACGTGTCTAGGTTGTGTTAGACTCGTACGTATCAGGTCTCAGTTTAAATAATAAAGCTTAGACAGTTCAATAACATTTTACTTTAGTGAAATTATATCCCATCATAACTTTTATTGTCCTTGTTTACGACATGTGATATCAAAACAAGAATTGTTTCCGTGTATATTCATAGGGGGGGGGGGGGGGGGGGGGGGGGTTAACATCTTATGGTAATTAGTTAATGAATTAAAGCACAAGGTTGTCAATCTAATGAAACCCCGATCGTTTATATCTGTACCATTTCCCATCGGGACAGATCGATGCTGCACTTAGTCAACCAGTGCGCATGACCCGGAAAGGACATGTACAATGCATAATTTATGACGTAGAGAGTGTACAAGTAATAAAGATCAAAATATAGACGAATAGGTTGCCTTAAATAATATGGGATAATGTTATATGTGGATAAGTATTATTAGATCAATGAAATAGAGCCAGTATCGTACAACGATATATCAAGGTATTATTTTCCATACCTAAGATGAATAAAACATCAGTATCGATTACTAATCGATAGTTATTTGTTTACAGCGTTTGTACTACGGTACTACATAGACCACATGCTGAGTTATACTCAAATAGGTTTTTTTCTTATTCCTAGAAAACAGAATAATGTAACTAGATACGTTTAACTTTAATGTCAAACGCATTGACCTATAAAAGCGCGCTAGTATTGATGTATTGATTTGCTTTATTGATCCCGTGACAAAACTTGTGTAAAAGTACTCGATAGCCTGATCTGGTACAGTAAATGGTCCTCGTCATGACAGCACTCACTAGAAGATATTAGTACGATAACGAAGTGATAATCATTGCTCTGCTACGTATGTACTCCAGCTTACATTCTGACAGACTGGGCGTGATACCGCCTACTGGCAGACTGGGCGTGATACCGCCTACTGGCAGCCTGTGCTTTATATCACCTAATAACAGGCTGGGTGTAATATCACCTACTGACAGGCTGGGTGTAATATCACCTACTGACATACTGGGTGTGATAACACCTACTGACAGGCTGGGTGTGATAACACCTACTGACAGGTTGGGTGAAATATCACCTACTGACAGTCTGGGTATGATACCACCTACTGACAGGCTGGGTGTGATAACACCTACTGACAGGCTGGGTGTGATAACACCTACTGACTGACTGGGTGAAATATCACCTACTGACAGTCTGGGTATGATACCGACTACTGACAGTCTGGGTGTGATACCACCTACTGACAGGCTGGGTGTGATAACACCTACTGACTGACTGGGTGAAATATCACCTACTGACAGTCTGGGTTGGATAACAACTACTGACAGGCTGGGTGTGATACCACCTACTGACAGGCTGGGTGTGATAACACCTACTGACTGGCTGAGTGTTATACCACTTACTGACACACTGGGTATGATACCGACTACTGACAGGCTGGGTGTGATGCTGACTACTAACAGGCTGGGTGTGATACCGACTACTGACAGGCTGGGTGTGATAACACCTATTAACAGGCTGGGTGTGATACCACTTACTGACAGACTTGTTGTGATACCACCTACTGACAGGCTGGGTGTGATTCCACCTTCTTACAGGGTTGGTGTGATGCTGACTACTAACAGGCTGGGTGTGATACCGACTACTGACAGGTTAGGTGATACCGCTTACTGACAGGCTGGGTGTGATAATGTGTAGTTGTATGTAGCCTTTTTAAACAGTTGTTAGAAATAGTTTATTACAACAACTATTTATTACCCAGGGCAACATCCAATTTTCTTCCTTCCCTACCTATTTCACCTACTGACCTTATATCTATAATCGCTGATGTATCTCATCACATACTTAGTCCTGGTGATGTGCTTTGCGTGTCACAGTCAACAATGAGATGGCGTACATTGTAATTGAGCTACCACGATATACATGGCCACGACACCGAGCATACAAATTGATCACCATTTGAAAATTTGCGAAGATCCTTTTACCAATTTAATACAATCACATGTCAAACAAAAACAAACAAGACGAAAAGCCATTACTGGCACAATCATTTCTAAGTAAACGAACTTTAAATATTGGTGCACATCAATTAAAGTTAACCTCTTCAAAAACAAGCTAGAACGAAAAGTAAGAAAACATTTCATCCGCGTAAAAGGTTTTCACACACATGTCATGGTTATCTTTATTAAAGTCAGTTTAACTTTTTTGTGCTGAAATAGACACCACAACCACACACAATACACATCAATAGTGCTGACTTAGCGATATGTTGGAACCATGATTTTACGGACGGTTGTCACTTGCTCATATATATCCTGTTTGTTGCTGAGGTTTGTTTCCATTGAAATCGCAGATAAAAATCATAACAAGATCAGTCTAAACGAAGAGATAGAGAGAGACAGAGACAGAGAGAGAGAATTTCTTACTTATTGTAAAAGGAATACGTGTATAATCCCACTTCAACGTAGATGAGACATGGGACATGTATTTACTTAATGTATTAAACCATTGATGAATCAAACCATTTCAAAACCTTTTAAACATTTAGAAGAAATCATTTCATTCAAATTGTATGCCTCACTTAGGAATGGTTTGTGTGTTATAAGTACTCTTATATACAGGAAGGCTTAACCCCTGTACATATGACCCCGAAAACAAAACAAGCTCCTCCACAACGGAGACATTTAAATCTCAAATTGGTAGGACTTTAAACACTTTATGTGACATGTTTGAGGAGAGCGTTAAAGATATTCCCACTAAGTTTAAATTATGAATTACAACTCCACGAGGTCAAAACTAGAATTTTAAATAATGTTGGATATTAATACCTCCAGGCTATCATTACGATTTACGATGTATGGGTTTTTGTACTCATATATATAGTACAATAGTCATTCTATACACTTAGTATTCCACTTCAAAATGGTTCCTTTATATTGTTGACCTATATAAACACCAAACTCGTGTGCTGTTCGAAGGTTTACATAAATAATAAAAAATTAATTGTATCTATTTACTACTATTATTAAGGATATATACTACCCAAGTGTAACATGTTTTCCAATTCTAAAAGAGTTACACAATAAGAAAGCTCCATTTAAATATGGTTTCTTACTTGGTAATACTATTTATATACGCATCATGAATATGAAGAACTTATCAGACATATATGCGTTTAGACACAAAACAGAAGAGCGCCACAGCATACACGCGTTTGGACGTTTCCTTATTCTTCTGTTTACAAATCAGTATGTCTGTACATTAATACATCATTGTTGTTTATATTTATGTATAAAGGCCCGATACTAACACATAGACAGTAAGCGCACACCTTTATATGTACAAACAATTATTAACAAAAGTATTTTTCTATATTCTTATGTAAATCCTGATTAAATTTATCATGATATACAATGATACATTCCGATTCTGTCCTCGATAGATCCTGCAACGATCGATGATATGTGGACAGGTGAATACCACGCGGAGTACAGCGGCCTGTGTCAGTACAGTCGCCAACATTTACAATAATGGTATCGATCCCCCACGATGTTGGAATCAAGCGACATGGCACATTTGTCACACACTTTCTCTCTTTCAGGAAGAAATAAACGGACCACGAAGCTTACCATGGTATATCTATGCTTCTACTAGAACATATAGGTAAGAACCAAACCAAAAGTTGTCTCACACTTACCAAAGCATTCTTACTGCAGCCGATGAATTGTACACGGCGACATCCGATTCCAAAGTCGTGACGGAATTTGAAACAAAATAAAACGTTTAAGCAGTATTTCACAGGTAAATAAATAGCGCTGGTACCAGTCTCTCCGGGAGTACCTATGTATAAGACGTGTCCCAGGTAGATCTAGGTCATTGTAATTCCTACCCGACCATTATCACAGAAAACACAACAGCCTTCGATTATTTCTACCGACTCGTTCAGCTAGCTACGAGTGATTTACATAAATTATTTCTGTTTATAGTACACAAGGTTGTATTCGATAGAGTAATGAACATTCCAGTCGACAAACACAACACTGCCACTGACGTAGGACGGTGCCGACACACACACCACGGTGGCTCGAAAGATTTTCACTCCCATACACCTTTTGTACAATACATAGACATATTACAACGAACATTATATGCTTACCCGGGCACGCTTGATCCGACACATTTTCTATAGCTCACGGTTATATAAGCACCACTACAGGGGATTCAACACTGCAGTAAAGAACGAGATCCGAAGGAACTATCGAGGAAATCACCGTACATTTATTTGTTTCTCCTTAGGGACATGCTCTTCTGAGACGGCAACGCTTTCCCGCATGAAGCAGTTCTCTTTTGCAGAATGTTTATATTTGTATTGACAAGGTTTTTGCTTAACTTTCTAAGCAAAAAAAACTAGTTTTTTTAAATTCTGGTTTGAGATAGAAAATTCAAAAAGTGAATATCAATATTTGCAATGCACTAGATCTACCTGGGACACACAAATTTGATATCCTTTGGGTTGATACTAGTTTTTTTTTTAGTTATTGCAAATATCTTAAGGCAGATATTGCAATATCTTATGGTATTTATATTGAATGAATATTTGAATAAACATGTATGCATTCCGTAACACAGAGATTTAAAAATAGGTTTGCTGAATGGGTGAATTTCTTTTATGAATATAATGAGCTCGATATAAATCCGTTCAATATTTTAGTGCATTTTTCTTAAGAGCGTGGTGTTTTATCAATGTTTTGGATGTCTATTAATGGTGTTGCTGTATAGAGGAGAATATTTCCATTTACATAATACCATGGTGCATGACATACCAAAAGGTTCAAATACGAAATACCCGTTTTAAGTATTATCAATGCAGATCACCGCCCTAAATGATATAGTAAATATTCGTAAATGAGGCATAACTAATATAAAACATGAAAAATGCCATAACATCAGCATACCAAGATACCAATGTGTCAATGAACTCCCAAAGTCAACACAAAAGATACATGTATAGATATAGATATCTAGAGGACACCAACAATAACCGTCAGAAAGAACAATGTATCTTTATTAACGTATATGTTGCAAAGCAGACCCGTTGAACTTACGTTCTAAAGTGGCCTTGGTTGGAGCACGATACCTCCGAGAAGAGATTCTGTAAATATTACACTACGTTAGGCTTGCCTTGGTTTGAGCATGACACCTTCGAGAAGAGATTCTGTAAATATTACAGTACGTTAGGCTTGCCTTGGTTTGAGCATGACACCTTCGAGAAGTGATTCTGTAAATATTACACTACGTTAGGCTTGCCTTGGCTGATCATGATACCTCCGATTATCATGTAAACATTACCTTTGATACCCCATTCACCTTTCCATTTAAATAATTTTTAATAAATATCTCCACAATGAGTTTCCTGGCAAACATGTATATCAGCTTTTACTTTTCTAAACCAAAATAGAGATTCAATCTTCTTTCCGTGATATTAAAGCAATCGACATTGATTGTCAATAATTTCAAAGTTGCTGCCATCTAAGATTGTTATATTGCTCATCACACTATTAAAATGTCTTAATTATGTATTTAATAATGTTCTTTAAATATTCACTGTGACATGCAAGCTGTTACTAAATGGATTCTGTCAGTAGATTTCGTTGACTTCCTGAGGACACCTTTAACATTTTCTATGTCCTTCGTTTGTGACAGTAACCAGATGGAGCTCGCCAAGTGCTGGTGGTTTCTAACCAGTGTTTTGTGGAGTGGTTAAAATTGTTTTAACATTCATTTACTGGAATGATCTCCTTAGTATGGCAAACACGCATTATTTGTTTGTCACTAAGAGGATCTTTAGATAAATAAGAGGCAAGCATCGTATGATGTAAAACAGTTTGGTGTCATCCACACACAGTATCATAACATCCAGATCTTTTGCAAAAATCACTGGTCCAAGAACGAACCCTTGTAGAACTGCTGACTATTCGAAAGGCCCCCGGTTCACCACCCTTTACGTCTCTCCTACACGAAGCTATTAATCCAAAGAACTATCTGATCTGAGCATATTTATGTCTTCAGCTTATTTAGCAGCCTTTGTGCGGAACAGTGTGAAGTGATCTGTTATTTACATGCATACGTTTAATCGATTACGGTTCAAAAAGCCCCCTCAACGATGTTATAGTCACAGTAAATTTAAACCCTCTGGTAAGTCCTGTTCAAAAAATAAAAAATATATGTATGTAATTTAAATATATTGAACGTATACTTTAGCTATTAAAAGGGTAAACAACTAGGTTAACGTAGTCAATAATAAAGCTTTAAGGCTAATGTCTTCAAAAAATAACTCACCGGACTCATAGTAATAATAATAATATACAACATTAGATATAGCGCCCCATCTAGCTAGCATAAGCCACTCTTAAGGGCTTTACATTTCATAGATATACAATTACAATGTAATACAATTAGGATATACAATTTTGAGAAATTCGCAGGAGCTGCCTTATCAGGCGCTAACTACTAGTCCTTTAACATGTCAATCTGTTTTTGACCTTATTGAATGCTTCTAAATAACATATTATTTGAAGTTTATTTATATACCTAGTTTATGCGGAGCTGAATGTCTCTTGAACTAGATGTGGAGAGACATACCAGCCTCAAATGTAGATGAATGGCTATGGGAATGAACAAAAATCGTAGGAAAACGTCAGAGTAACATATTTACGGGTATATATGTGTAAAACCATAGACCTATGACCGTAAAAGTCACATCAACTTCATATAAAGTGTCCTTTTTGAACATTTAATATGTTATAAACATTATCGTACTTTTCAATTTAAATGTTTATAACATGTCTAGCGCATTCATAACATCACAGAATGTTGTCAAATGGCACATCAACCACAGTTCATTTATCGATCGATGTTTGCTTAGCCTTTGTTTTCTTATTCATAATCTGCTGAAATATATAACCAGGGGATTTAACTATGATATTATTGGTTTCGCATGGTAACATCTATCTTTATTTGAGGTCGGATTGGTTTGGTTTGGTTTGGTTTGTTTAACGTCCTATCAACAGCTATGGTCATTTAATGACGGCCTCTCCCGTGTGCAAGATGCATGCAGGCTCTGACAAGGGAGACACTAAGAAGAAGAAAGTTGTTTAGAAAGCAGAGAAAAGATAAGATCCCAATTTTAGTCGCCTCTTACGATTATGCAATGGGGGCAGCAGGTACATTTATTACGCCCTACCTGCAGGGACATTGGATTGGATAGGAATTTCTCTCAACAGCAAGTAGAAGAGAAATAAAGCTCTGCATGACCTAGGCATATAATTAAACTTTAAATTATTATATGTCATTTTTTAGCAAAAGAAATTAACTTGTTATAAGTCCGGTCAACTCTTTTTATGAAACGCCAGCCTTAATGCCTTCTTTTCGACTAAGTTAACCTGGCTATGTATTTTCTTTGATATCCAATGTATAAGTTCAATCTATTGAAATTACATGATATTATATAAGTTCTGATTTTTACTTGAGTTATTTGAATATGACTTATCAGGGGGTTGGAATTTAAGGTGACTTCAGCAACTTTTAGGGGGCTAGTTGAACCCTAACCCACATTCAACGCTTCTGTCTGTGTATCCAACACTTCCAACATCTGTAATTGTTATTGATCTCCAAGATGGGATTACCTCTTTTTCCTCCATTGTTGGGATATCACCATCTTCTTTTAAAAAAAAGAGAAACAATTAACTAATTTAGCGCTATGGCAATCGCTTTTTCCTTGTCGTTGCTTGTTTTGGGTCATGTTTTGTCTATTTGATCTTTACTATAGATCTCCAACAAACACTTTTTTTTTAATTTCATCTTAATATAATGCAAAATTCCATTTGGGGTTCTCCTAGCTTTTAGGGCGAGTTCCATTTCAAAATTCTTTCTTAGTCTCCCCGAAAACTGTTGGCTTTTTTTTTCAAATGAGTATTGTTGACTTTTGTTATGAGATTCAAAGTCGTTCCATCTCCGATTAATCCTTTGACTCTCCTACTACTTTCTTATGAGTATTGTTGACTTTTGTAGGTTTGTGGCTATCCTCTTACTACTTTTCTATGAGTATTGTTGACTTTTGTAGGTTTGTGGCTATCCTCCCACTACTTTCCTATGAGTACTTGTGTAGGTTGTTTCTATCCTCTATCGACTTTATCTGTTATGGCGTATATCCCAGTTCTCATTTCTTGGGTTAGGGATCAATATTGTCGAGTTCCAGTCTACAGTATTGATGTCCTCAAGTATTGATTCGTGGCCGGTTTAACCATACATTTTCACTGTTTGCTTTCTGTTATTTTCTTAGCATATCACTTCTAGTCCATTGTAAGCACACAATGGTCGCTCTTTCAAAAAGGGCTTTGAAACTCCTTGTTTGATACAATTTTTCCTCGTTCGTAGAAATAAGATCTAAAACAGATGGTTTGTCACTTCTTCTCCCCCGGTTGGCTTTTTCACATGTAAAAATAGGTATGTTTCTCGAATACATTACACGAATTCGAATTCTTGTGAATCTGTACTGTTACCGTTATTGATACATGTGTACTAGTTTCATAGTGGTAGGACGCCGGGCTCGTGGCCGAAGGGTTGCAGGTTCGAGTCACGGCACGGCACTTTGTTGTATCTTTGAACAAGATACTTTGCTCCACTTGTTCAAGTCGACTCAGCTGTAAATGAGGACGTGGTTGGGCAGTGCTAAAATTGTTGAATGATCACTGTGAGCGCCGAAATGACAGCATCGGCTGTATGCTCCCCATGGAGTTGAGAGAGATATTGGCTGGTTGCAAATGCCCCATAACCACGGATACTGATTTGTGAACCGCTTTGAGACGACCTTCGAACAAGGTTGTGATAAAGCGGTAAATAAGAACCTCAAATTATTATTATTATCATTTATATCTGGCTAATTAATGTCCTCCATAATCAAAACATGAGAATACACAAGTGGTTCATTTCCATCAATTTGGCTTCTTAAAAACTGTTTTTTTCATTTCAACATACGAATGTTATTTGGGCTTGCTTTTGTCTGCAAGTCCTAATGTTCTTGAAATGTCTT